GTTTTTATGTATGTCTGTGTGTGTAAGTATAATAAGTAAAAAAAAATTAAAGAAATGCAAGAAATTCCGAAATTAAATATGTAAATTTATACCAATAGTAAAATGTGGGCAGCAGTGAAGAAAACTGGAAACAAAAAAATTTCAAATAAAAATAAATATTAATTATAATGAAATAAGCTCACAATAGAAGTATATAATTATATAAAATGCAACTTTTATATTTTGCAATTTATTTTAATTATTTTGCATATCATTTCATAATATCATTTTTCCAGTGCGCAAAGACTTTTTTATTTAAAATGTTTTATTCTATTTCAAAATGTATTTTTTTACTTTTTTGCTATTTTTTATCATTTTTCAAATAACTATATTTCTTAAAAAAAGTTCAAGTTTCAATCTTTATAGCGTATTTTCTTAAAATTTCTATTATTATCCATTTAATAATTTATTCCATTTTTTACTAAAATTATCTAGTTTTGTTTTCTTAGTTTATTTATTCTATTTTATATTCCATTTTATTTTTTTATTTTATTTTATTTTATTTTATTTTATTTTATTTTATTTTATTTTATTTTATTTTATTTTATTTTATTTTATTTTATTTTATTTTATTTTATTTTATTTTATTTTATTTTATTTTAATTTATTTCATTGTTTATATGGCATTATTCTTTTATTTTTTCCTGTTTTTTAAATAGCCCTTTGAGTTTCATTTCAATCTTATTTTCGAAATTTTCATTTTGTAATATCTCGCTCGAAAATGATTCGAATGCGCACTGCTTAAGCCGCCGACGTAAGCCATACTTGAGCGCGGCATTATTGAACTTTAACGGAGGCGGCAACAGCAATAACAAAAACGAAACAAACAAAAGCACTGGAATTTAAATAAAAAATGTTTAAAAAATTGCCATAGAAAGCTTAAAGAGCAACAAAAATAACAAAGTTGCAGCATTTAGAGATGCAACTCGCTTCAAATGAAAGCTACGCTTCACCTCTACGACCAAATCTTGCCTGCTTGTCTACTTGCATATTCATATTAGCTTCTTTTAGGCACTTAAGTACTGTTATGCATAAGCGCATAAGCAAATGCCCAAGTATGATAATGGCGAGAGTTGGCGGTTGGCGGTTGGCAGTGCCTCTGGTGTGCAGTAGAGTGCAACAGCAGTTGTGGCTACATTCAAACGCTTTTACATGAAAAATGAGCAGAGAAAAATGTGATAAAAAAATACTGAAATCAGTTGTGGAAAAAGCAGAAGTGTATGCTCTTATTGAAGGTGGCATTGCATTTTAAAGTGGGTCAAATATCATCACTTGGCTCATTTCTAATGATCATTCTTTTCTACTCATACATTGCTCTACTCTTACCATCTTGTGAAGTTTGACTTCTTTGTTTTTTTCTTTTTCATTTAACATTTTGAAAATGTGCTTTTTAATGCTGATATGGGACTACTTAACCTAATTCTCTTTGTCTTTGGTATTTCGGGCAATTATTAAATTTTTATTTATAAATAATGACATTTGTAAAGGATTTAAATAAAATTTTCCACCAATTTACATTCTTTCTCATTTATTGACTTAATTTCTCATCAAGATTTTTAATTTTCATATATCATTTTCTTTATTTCCTTTTCGTTGCATAATATTTTATTTTATTTATTTTTATTTTGTTTTATTAAATTTAATTTCATTTTAATTTATTTAAATTTATTTTGTTTATACTCTTTTATTTTATTTTATTTTATTTTATTTTATTTTATTTTATTTTATTTTATTTTATTTTATTTTATTTTATATTATTTTATTTGATTTTATTTGATTTTATTTGATTTTATTTGATTTTATTTGATTTTATTTTATTTTATTTTATTTTATTTTATTTTATTTTATTTTATTTTATTTTATTTTATTTTATTTTATTTTATTTTATTTTATTTTATTTTATTTTATTTTATTTTATTTTATTTTATTTTATTTTATTTTATTTTATTTTATTTTATTTTAGTTATTTTATTTTTTCCCCTCTATTATTATAAATTTTTTGTATTTTATTTACTTCATGTTGATATTGTTTCATTTTAACTTTGTGGTTTAAATTTTTAATCAATGCCACAGCAATCAATGTCATCCACCACATGTTGTATTGTACCAGTAGTTTTGTGGTTTGGCGCTTGCGTCATTGTCCTTTTTCCATCATCACTATCCCCCTTCTCTTGCTGATTCAAAGTTTTAACCTTGGAAGCCGCAAAAATACCAGCAATTCGTCTTTGGGTACCTGAAGATTTCAATGGTCCCTACGAAATCGAGACCTAAAAAAAAAGTCTTTAAAATGACAGCCACCAGATTTTCAATTCTACCTGCCCTGAGGTCAGTTAAAACTCTGCGGCTAAGAAGGATGAGCAAAAAAAAAATAACTCAAAAATATTTAAATGCTGAATTTTTTGAGCTTAAAACGGAAATCGCTGAGGCTATAAAAGGAGCGTAAAGTTTATTTTAAAGTAAAGCAAAAAAAAAAAAAAACAAACGCAAGCAGCTGCATTTGCCACAAAATTCGTATATTTCTTTCCAACTTATTTCAGTTCTTCTGAGTTCGCTTGCCTTCTGGTGGTTTGTTGCGTGCCTTTGTACCAAAGCCACCAGCCATCACAGCAAATGTCCGAAATTCCAGGCACGAGAAGCACTAAAGTGTCAAATTTATGCGACGACTGCTGCATCAGCATTTGTGTTCTTCTTCTTTGATTTATTAACTTTTTTTACTTTGTTACTTTTTAAATTTTTTATCAACGCGTGTGTATTTTTTGGTAGTTAAGAAAGAATTTCCGTACGCTGTCCTTGTGGTTTTGCTTATTTATTATTTTAGCTTCCTTTTGGTTTATTTTTTATCTGAATATCAAACTTTCTTAAACATTTACTTTCAGATTTTTTTATTTGTTATTTTCATTCATTTTAATTTTTTTCTTTCATTTTATTTATTATTTTTTTTATTTATTATTATTATTTTTTTCTTTTACTTTATTATTTCTCAAATTTTTTTCATTCTTTTTTGGCATATTTATTTGTTATTTTATTTTTATTTTTTATTATTATTTTTTATTTTGTTTTATTTTATTTTGTATTATTTTTTTATTTCTCAATTTTTTTCCATTCTTTCTTGGCATATTTATTTGTTATTTTATTTTTATTTTTATTTTTCATTATTATTTTTAATTATTATTTTTTATTTTGTTTTATTTTATTTTGTATTATTTTTTTATTTCTTAAATTTTTTTCCATTCCTTTTTGGCAAATCCGAAAAGTGTCTTCCATTGAAAAAATTTGCACCTGCGCATTTTTGTATTGCACATATGTATGTATGTACGAGTATGTATGGGTAAGCTGCTGCTGCTAACTGAAACTTGGATTTTGTGTCGTCTCAAATGTCCGAGCGCATTTTTTATGCATTTTTTTCTTGCTTCACTTTTCTTATTTTTTGTGTGCTGCTTAAATTTTAATTTGCAAATTTTCGCAAGCACATTTTTTCCACTCTTATTTCGCTTTTTTTGTTGGTTTTTTTTTTGGGCAAACAATTTTGTGGTAGCTGAAACAGCTGTCGTTTGGTAGCCGTGCTTTGGAATTTTTATGGGTTTCACAAGGAAAAGGCAAGAAAAAATAGTAAATGAGAAGCAAAATGTGAAATATGGGATAACATTAACCCTTGAAGCGCTGCGGATATTTTCGAATCAAAACATCATTTAACTGTACTGCTGATCTTAGACCTCCCATGGAGAGTGCATATCCCTTGTTACCACATAATTGAGTGCTCATTTATGAATAAGGAATATCTAAAGTATATTTAGTACCGTAAATCTTATTGCGCTTACTGCTTTAACTGCAAAATGTCCCAAATGAGCCATAATTTGCTAATCGGATTGTGAAGAGTGTGCAAGTGTCCAGCTGTAAGATGTTTCCATTGCGGCAATGACCTTTACTAAAAAGTATATTGTATTAATAGTTCCTCAGCAAAGAAAAGACCGAAGTATGGGCGCTGATGAGAGCGAAATAGATAGCAATAGCTCTTTGCTACCGGAAAGCCGGGAGTGGGAGCAATGATCAGACTGAAATAGAGAGCAATAGCTCCTTCGCAGAGAACTTCTATCCTATAGAGCAAGCCTTTGGCATAAAACTTTCCGGAAAAATTCAACAGTTCAAGTAAATTGAATTTGAATCGAAGAAGAAATTTTCTTTTTCCATTGATTAGATCTCATTGATGGAGATCAATTATCAAAAAAAAAAATTATAATTTTAAGCGAAAAAAGTTTGACATATATAGAACTATAGACTTCCTTCTCCCTTAACCACAACCACTTTTTAGTAAAAAAAATTGTAAGCGTAATTAATTTTTTTCAAACCAAGCAGTAAAAAGTTTTAAGCTAAAGCTCCTCCCCATGGAGCTTACTGACGATTTCTGTTAGGGAAAGCTTCCTACCTCAACTGAGTGAGACTCCATTTTGTGCAACTTTCGGAGGAATAGAGACGCGGAGCAGACATATTGTACATACAACGACTTATTGGGAAGGCAAAAGTTTGATCGAAGAGAAGCTTAAGCCACTATAAGTCGTTCATCATTATCGCCCTGCCCGTATGGGTTAGAAGCGTGAACGATGACGACAACTGATGAGTCGGCGATAAGAGTTTTGGAGAGTAAAGTTTTGATCACGATGGTTCTTTGGACATTGGAATTCCGCAGACAATCGAAAGATGAGCTGAACGCGATATACGAGGTCATTGATAGATGAAGAAAGATCTGTCTTTAATATGGAGATACCAATACCAAAGATCCGAACAGCTAAGAAAAATAACGAATGTAAATGAGAGCATATCGATTGCCCAAAATAAGATATATTTCCTACTATGAGGTACCAAAATAGACTAATTGAATCCTTTCGTAAGAGCTTCGAGGTTTGTCTTCTTAAACTAAATAAACTAAAGAAAGATCACTTAATATACGAGTATATTGGACTCACCTGTATTGAACCAGCGACCGATGCGGAGCTGAAACTTGCATTACTCGCATTCGACGAGGCGATAAATTGCTTACGCATCAAAAGGCTGGTCGTACTGCCGCTACTGCTACTACTACACGAACTGTTGCTGTTGTTGCTGGTGCTGCTGTTTCTGATAATTGTGTTAATATTGCTATTATTAGTGTCGGCGGCAGCGTTGCTCAGTGTAGTGAGGGCAGCATTTGTAGAGCCGGCGCCAATGCTGTTGACTGGTGATATATTACCAGCGCCACTTGTATTAACACTACTGTTGTTGTTATTGCTATTTACAGCGTTATTTACATTGGTTGTTGCGATTGTTGTTGTTGCTTGTGACGCCATCGCTGTTGCGTTGCTTGCACTTTTTAGCGATGAGCCACTGCAATTGCCGCTACTGTTGCTGTTGTTGTTGTTGTTATTATTATTATTATTATTACTACAATTACTATTACTATTGCTATTTACATTACACAAATTATTTTGATTATGATTTTTATTGTTGCTATTATTGCCATTATTATTATTTGCATTACTTTTACTCAGCGGCATTTCCATGTTATTGCTGCTGTTGTTTTTGTTGGTGCTATCACTATTGTTGATATTTAATGTTGCATTGCTATTTAGAATATTATTGCTATTTGTTGTTGTTGTTATTGTTTTGCAAACACTACTAACACTTGCGCTCATATTGTGACTGTTATTGGTGTTGTTGTTGGTGTTGATAACATCACCACTATTGTTGTTGTTGTTGTGATTGTGGCTATTGTTTAGTTGATTGTTAATTAAGCTGAAATTATGCAAATTGGCATTAATATTAATTTGTTTGTCATTTTGTTGTTGTTGTTGCTGTTGTTGCGAATTATGATTAATGCAATTTTTATTTTGTTGCCGCTGCTGTTGCTCTTGCTCTTGTTCTTCGTGTATGTCAGCCATTTTAAGCTGATTTTTCTTGCTTGTTGTTGTTGTTGTTGTTGTTATATCTATGTTGTAGTTTTGATTTCATTTCATCATGATTTAGGATAACTGTTAGTGCTCTTTATTTTTAGCTTTGTTGTTGCTTTCATTTTTTACTCGTTGTTGTTGCTTTTTTCTGGAAACGCTTGATTTCACGGTACTCAAACACTCAGGCCGTTGAATTCACCGTTACTTGAGCTTTTATTACGATATTTTGGCATTTTTGACATCTTTTACTTTCAATTTTCAATTTTTTCGATTTTTATTTTTTTTTATTTTTGTCGTGACAATCTCAACATCTCATATTAATTTTTTTATTCTTCACTTTCTTAAAATCCAATATTTATTTTTTTAAACTTTTTTCATTTCTTTTTTAAAATCTTTTACTTCCTTTTATTAACCCGTTAGGTTTGTTGTATTTTTTTTTTGTTGCTGTAACGAGTAATTTTATATGCTTTTATGTAATTACTTTGCTTGAGGAAGTTGTAATAACACAAATTTTTCATTTTTCTGCGTGTGAATTTTTAATTTTGACACAAAATTTTACGATTTTGAGTGTCTGAAAATAATGTCGCGTGCTGTGGCACTATTGAGTGCAGCGCCGGAAAGGTGCAACACGCACGGCGAATGAGACACTCATTTTTAATTGAATTAATTAAAAAAAAAATATAAGAAAAAACAAAATAAAATTTAAAAAATAAAAAAAAATTTAATTCTTTTTTTTTGTTTCCAATTTAACTGTTAAATAAATTATAAAAATATTATTTCTATATTTAATAACATAAGAGATAGAAAATGCTATTTCTATTTACTGTAAATTATATGAAATATTAACTTTAACTTTAATAAAATTTGAAATTAATTACATACTCGTATATATTAAAAATACTTGATGGTCTCTCTTGAAATGACAATTCATTTGTGTTCGAAAAAAAGTTCTCAAAAAAAAAGAGTTCTCTCTGTCATCTCATAAATACACCCTCAGAGCTTAACATTTCCTGCGAAGGAGCGATCTCAATTAGAATTTATTTAATAAATTATTTTTCAAAAATATTGATCCGCCTAGAACTCGAGCCCACGACCTCCCGCATGGCTTATTTTTTATTGTTAATTTGCTATGAGGCAATCATTTTCTCGGAGTTGGCTGCTGGTTGCACCCTAGACGCGATTACTGCTGTGCAGAAGCAGAGTATCGAAGAAGACCCGAATGAACCCTTCCATCAACGCGCACTACCATCGGGGCTTTGCTCATCGATGAGCTCTTTGGTATGAGAGCTCACAGAATCCAACTCGTGCAAGAACTGAAGCCGAACGGCCATCAAGCGTTTCGCAAGTTCGGTGAAAGAGCGTAAAATGGCCACCAATACAGATTCATAAAAGGAATAGTTGTTTAGCAAAGAAGCTCATTTCTGATTCAGTGGGTGCATTTTAAATATACCTTTCGTATTTGGAGCAATGTAAAGCCACAAGTCATTGTTGAGTTCTCAGAAAGTAACTCTTTGGTACAGCCCACAAAATAACCAATTTACTGAACGAAACCTTTTGTGAGTCCATTATGGTGCGACTCCGAATGGCTGATGGTTTTTTATGAAGATCTTTTATTTCATGTGAGAAAGACACTCGGAGGGGTTTATATTCACTGCCGAGGGGCGACCCTCCGAATGGCTGTATGCAATGCTCCACCGCGGCCGCCACGTTTTTAGCATCACTACGCAAGATCTTAGTCTTCAACAACCTATTGAAGAAGCTGAACAGTGGTAGCTGTAAGGTGGTGACCTACGCCGAACTCTTAGAGACTACACATGACCTCATGTGGCTTCAAGTCACCTAAATGTGGCTTCAAGTTGGGCGATCAGAACAAGTCCTACCGTAAATACCAGTAAGACAGAACTTGTTTAATTCATCGGAATACTCGTATAAATAATCCACGAAGCAGCTTTTTCCCCTTAATATGAGACGTTTGTCTACATTTTTCGACGTACATGCTTCCACGTGGAATATTGGAGACAATAATAGATTAGAAACTGTGCAGAAAGGCAATCATCAAAGGGGAGAAAGAAAAAAGGGCAGCAAGATAAGGGGGTTTCCATTAAAGTAATGTGCTGGACCCATAAAACTTTAGCCATGCTTATATTGTTTTATGGAGTTTTCTTATGTGTGAATGTTGCAAAGAAAGTGTAACTTTAGCTGGCTTTCGGTGCACGGAGCTACTCCAACATGAGCACCTAATAGCATGTGTAGTATTGTACCTGTGCATACCACGGTAGGGTTTATCGCTGGAGGAATGTGGATCCTTGGGCTATTTAGCCTCAGCTGCAGGCACTACCTTATCTCGACGTTAACGATAGGCTGCTTCTCTACCCCACAATATTTCCTTCGTGGGAGGACTGGAGGAGACAAAGCTGTATGTGATCTGGGGAGCAGTTAACTTCTTTGTGGTTGAGTTGAAGACTAACGGTAGTGTCAGCGTGGGAGTAATCTGTGGAGAAAACTGTTGAGGCTGAAGATTTCTGATGTCAAGGAAGGGGTGGTGGTGTTTATTTCGTATTCTTTTGGGATTAGTCTCTTCTAACTAACCCATATATATCGTATATTTATATATATGTGTCTACATATTAATTAATTTAATTAATATTAAATGCTTACAACTAAAATATTTAAAGTATAATAAACAAAAATTATAAGAACATTTTTTTTAATTCAATTATTTATTTTATATTCAATTCAATTATTATTAGTTTCAATATTTATTTCATTTGAAAAAAATCACATTCGAAAAATTTATATTTAACCTTTCTTACGCCGTTTTTACTACAAACTTTTTTTTAATAAATATTTCCTTTTTCTCTATTTTCTCTACATTTGTCATTACATAAATGTTGACTGCCGAATGACAAAATCAGCAATCACGAAAAATTAACCAAAAAAGCAACAGCAAAAATACACAACGAAACGAAATCTGTGGGCAATAATTGCAAATTTACAAAAGAAAAGCAAAGAAAGGCTTCGAGCACGAAATAAATTAAGAAAAACATGCAGGAAATTAGTTACCGTTACTGGCCATCAATATTACCATACAGCATACGGTAAGGTCTATAAACAATGTAGTAATAAAATAAATGTTATTGTTTTTTATTATAACATTTATTTTGGCAATTATATTTAAAATTCATATTTGCATAGAAATAAATAAATTCATATTTTTTTTTGGTATTTTTCCGTTTGGAAATATTATATTTTTTATTTTTTTATTTCTCTTTTGTACCCTTTTACCCCCAAATAAGCATTTAATTGGATTTAATGTTATAAATGAGTTGAAATTTTGAGTCTCATTAAATATTACTTTCGCCGCTTTTAATAGCTAACACTGATAATTAGTTTTAATGTAATTACCTTATTTAATATTTATTACTTCAACTTCTATTGTTAATGTATATATAAATGAATTTATTGTGTGTGTTATTGTTGTTGTTAACATTAACTAATTGAATGTGTTTGCTGTAAGCAAATGCTGCATGTATGAATGTGAGTACATATGTAAATACTGCTTTTGTATAAATTTTGCATGGCTCATTGAATTTTATCAATAAATAAAAGTTTCATTGCTCAGACAACATTTGATATTTATGGTGAGAAATAGAAAGTAGTTGACCATAAAAAAGCAAATTTCCATGTAACCAGCAATAATTTATAATAAATCATCTCCACAAATTATTGAGTATTTTCCTTTATTTTACTTCATTTTATTTCTTGTAATTTTATTTTGCTTCTACTGATTTTATTATATGTAATTTTATTTTATTTTATTTTATTTTTATTTTATTTTTATTTTATTTTTATTTTATTTTTTATTTTATTTTATTTTTATTTTATTTTATTTTATTTTATTTTATTTTATTTTATTTTATTTTATTTTATTTTATTTTATTTTATTTTATTTTATTTTATTTTATTTTATTTTATTTTATTTTATTTTATTTTGTTTTGTTTTATTTTGTTTTATTTTATTTTATTTTGTTTTATTTTATTTTATTTTATTTTATTTTTATTTTATAATTGGCGATTTGTAACTGCTGAAGTGATTTTCGGTCGAGCCCCTCCTCCAATTTATGGTTTTGCATCTATTTTAAAATAATTTTCTATAACTTTTGTATGCTGGGCGCACCAGGATTTGAACCCGGACCTTCCGGTTGGTAGTACGCAATGCTAACCACTCGGCTACCGCCATTACATTATTCCATATTTTATTTATATCTGTACGCAATTATATTTGTATTTAATTATTCATATCCAATAGATTTCTCACCGGTCCGCCGCACCTCATTAGTTCCGACATTTTACGCCGCCAACAACGCCCTGGAATGTAAAGAAAACAAAAGAAGTGATTAACAAAACAAATATTAAATAACTTTTTATCAATTCCACTACATACAACATACAAAATACAACAACTAACAAACTTATGCTAATACCTAAGTATTAAATATTTAAAAATTAATCGATAAGCAAGCGCTTTTTTCGGCGGCGTCTGCCGGCTGTGAAAGCACAAAAATGCGGTTTTGATGAATTGACACGGCATGGCATAGCCCAGCGTACGTTATAGGTGGTCGACAAATTTTCTGATTTTTTTAACAACAAAAACTACAAAAAATACAAAATATTTGTTAACAACGCGCAGACCAACAAAGGTAGACAATAAATGTTCAGCAAAAAGTGAAACAAATGCAAATCGCTTGCATAACATTGACCCAAACAACAAAATGAAAATGGAATTGAAATTGGAAGTGTAGGAAAAAAAGAGAAACCAAATGAAATAAATGTATATGTATGTATGTAAAAGTGCAAACAACAAATACAACAAAAAATGTAATGAAACCAATAAACTAGTTTTTGTATTGTAAAAATAAATACATATTTTATTATGTGTTTCTATTTTACATTTGTGTATACAATACATACATACATACGCACACATGTGCACATGTGATTTTTGCTTTTGTTATTACTGACGGTAGTAGAAAAGACGGCAATGGCGGCGGTTGCACTAATGACCAGGTTTGCGGTTTCCCCAACGTACATATATATAAAAGCAAAAAAAAAACTATAAACATGTGTACATACATACATAGGTATGTGTCTACATATGCGCATAGTTGGGATCTCAAGCGTCAGCATTGACTTCGGAAAATAAAAAAAATTGCGAGCACTTAACATTTGCATTTTATACAAACATACAGACATGCGAAAAAATGCATTTATAAGCATGCATATTTAGTCAGTATATATACATATGTACAAGCAAACATGCTGAAAGTGGCAGGCAAATATTTTTTCCAACTTTTGCTTATTTTTTCATAATTTTTTTTTTATACTTTTATTTTCTTATTTTCCCAATATTTTTATTTATATTTTATTTAAAATATTTTGTTTCTTTGTTACGCTTTGCTTGCTACAACAAAAAAAAAATCACGCAAGAAACTATGCCACACACATGCGCCTTGTGTGGTGGCCTTTTTGCAGTGCACTTTTATTAGCATTTAAAAGAAAATAAATGACAAATATATAGATTTGTCTTTATATGTATGTATGTATATAAATACGTATGTAGCTTTGTATTTTTTTGTCGGAAAACATATCAAAAACATTTATTCGTTAGACTAAAAATGCAAATGAGAAAATCGTGTGGCGCCTTGGCAATTATGAGTATGGGTCCACGGCGCTTAAGCTACAGACACACACACACACACATATATATATATACAGGTAGGCGAGTGTGTATGTTTGTGGGTACTTGGGCAATTGCTAAGGCTTCACTTTAAGTGCTCATTGAAGGCTATGGGCTTTATGATTTTCGAAAGGGCGACGTTGACAGAGGTCAACAGTATTTAAAAAAATATGACAAAGCGGATACATGCATGCGTATGTATGTATGTGTGTATGTATTTATGTAAATGTCACATTTTATGTGATCTACACGCTGTTAACTGCTAGTTTTTGCGCATGGTTAAATTTTTTACGAGATTTTATTAAAATTTGCATATTTTTTAATTATAATATTCACTTATTTTCATTAAATTTTATTTAAATTTAATTTAATATTTTTATTTTATTTTAATTTATTTTATTTAAATTTAGTTTAATATTTTTATTTTATTTTAGTTTTTTTTTTTCAATTCAAAAAAATTTCAATTATACTGGTAATGTTTTTTGTTGTTTAATTAGCCCAGATAAAATAAAGAGTTGGAATTTATTCTGATTATTTATCAAACCAACCACATCATCTCAACAAAAGCTCTATCTGTTTACTTATAAATAAAAGACTGCCAAGGTGCCGATCAACAGCAACGCATCTCGTGTTATACCTAGATACCGAAAGATGAAAAGGAAAGCCAGATTCATAACCAGACAAAAAAGAGAAAGAAACCGAAATGTGGGATCATAACAATCTTGAGAAGCTGATCACCAGGCACAATGCTCAAAAATTCCATGAGAAGTTATGGTAAATTACACAAGCTTTCAAAACCTACTCATGTATAACCTGTGCTCTTGTGATCGATGCCTAAAATATTCTGAGTTCAGTGAAAGTAAAAAAAATCTGGAGTTGGTGAACCCGAATCCTCAATCGATGGCGTTGGCACATACGTTTACCACCTGACTATGAAGAAGTACGAATGGCGATTGATCGTCTGAAGAACAAGAGGAGCTGATGTTTTGTCGGATATAGAGGCGAAAGACAGGCCAAGTGAATGATATGGTATATGTCCCAAAGACTTACCCGTCAGCATTTTGTCGGCAACATTTAAAGAATTGGACATTCCGAAAACATGGCCTTATATCATAATCCTTTGTCCATTGATTCATTCTTTGGTTGCCAACAAATCCGGAAGTCCTTATACGAGACGTCTATAGTGTCTCCATTTCAGCTGCCGTACTCCGAGGACTAAACCTCATAACTTCGAGAGTGTACAACTGCTGTCTTAACAAGTGTACCGTCAGATTTGTTTTTTTTTTTTACGCCAATAAGCCACCTGAAAACCCAGTATAGAACGCTATTTTGGACAGAGCACGCAGGCCCTCTCCCAACCTACAAAGACCGAACTCGACAAGAAGCTCATTATACCCGCTCTGCCATATAGGACAGAGGCTTCGACAATGACAACATCTAATGAGCCGGCGCTAAGAGTTTTCGAGTGAAAGGTTTCGTGGAAGACTTATGGTATTTTGCGCACTGGTAACGGCGAGTACCGCAGCCGATTGAACGATTATATAATATCTTAAAGTCTGGAATCTTTATCTATTGTGAGTTAAACCGCTTATTTGCATTATGAAGCCTACCATAAAGCTTTCGTGGTTAAGTTTTAATGCAACCTAGCTCACTATCTTCCACAAACAATGAAGCTTTTTAAGGCTAGTTTTGACACTTTTTACATGCTTTGCGAATGAAGAAACCAAAACACGCTCAAAAAGCTTTAACGAAGCTGGTATATAAATTTGCACGCATTTTTAGTAAGCTTTAAAATGCTAATCTCGAATAATTATGAGAGTCATCAACAAAGAAGGTTTCTAAAAAGAAAATCTCACAGTATTACTATGCCACTCAGTTCAGTTGGTTCCGTATAGTGTATTTAGGGGCACACAAATTCAGCTTAAAAAGGTGAGAGATGTGGAAAGGGTTATCGAAGTTTTCTACATTTTATCATAAAGCTCTAAAAGCTTTAAATACAAAACCGAAATATTAATATCTTCAGAAAATTTTGCTAAAGTTTCAGAGCTTTCACGAACTGAAAATGTTGAATTCTATCCTCTAGGAGCTTTTATAACACATTTCGAGTTTTTATGAGCTTTATGAGGGTAAACTTTGCAGCTCTTAAAGCTTTCATAAATTAAAACAACTAAATTCTTAAACCTTGGATTTCCTTTTTTTAATTTGCTCAACTCAAACAACTTTAAGAACTTTCCCATGACAAAATGTTTAAACACTGAGCTTTATGAGCTTTCATTATATAACAAAGCCTTACAATTATTTTTATGCACAAAATGATTTCTTATACGTTCTTATTTTTCCACATTACTTCATTGACTCGAACGATTTTGGAAAGTACGAACATTACGAGGCCCACAATATCCGCAGCACAATTGATTACCGAGCAATGCCTCTCATTATGGCGACAAAATTATATGTAATTTCTCAAAGAAATTGCCTCATGCCCTGAGGACGAGCGCACAAACACAAACTCACACACATTCGCTCAAGCACTTCCTCATTCACAAGGTAGCTTCCAAAAGCTTTCAAGCAAAAATTCGATTGAATGCTCTTTCACACATACATACGTGTATGCAGTGTATATCTGTTTGCGGATGAGTCGCTAAAGACAAGAGTGTTCACTCCCAAGTGGAAACAGGTGGGTGACTTTGCTACGTTAAATAAATGAAGAACAAAAAGTGAAGAAATTTTGTGTAAGAAGAAAGAAAAAGCAGCAAATTCAAGTGCAGTCAAGCAGCCGCGATGCATAACACCCACTTGTTACGTACATACATACAACTCAACTCCATGCATTTATATTTGTTTTTGGGCTTGTGCAACTCCATTGCCGCCATTTGGGGCCACTTTTGGAATGCACTCCTCAAATGCATACTTGCGAATGTTTGCAAGTACTTTTTGCAAACTTAATCGCATTTGGGCCTTTGTCGACGGTCTTCGGTCGCCGGTCGCGACAGGTCCATTTGGCTTGGTCTTTTTTGCAGTTTTTCTCCCTTCTTTTTGACATTACCGCATGTTGCATTAATAACAGTTATTTGTCAATTCTCGTTTTTATTACTTGAAATACTTGCAAGTGCGCTGCAGCTAAAGCGCTTTTTTCATGTAGAACTTAAACTGTAGCAAATTGAAAATTATATTCCACTTGCAGTTGGGTTGGTGCAGCACGAATCAGAGGGAAAACGCTGACATATTTGCATAATGTAAATGCGCAATTAATTATATGCTGAGAGAGCTTTGAGTGGGGAAATTAATACGATTCCGACATTTAAAAATATCCAAGATCGGCTGATATAAGTAAAAGTCCGCAAAACTGCCACTTTTTCCCCAAAAGGAACATTAAAAATATCGGCTTATTTGCGACTCCTAAACAGTTACAGCTTCAGCAGCGCCAAGCCGATCTAAATAACTTAAGCTGCTCTAAGTAGCCCTTACAGTCTTGGAGTGTTTATCACTTCAAAAACCATTCCCAGCCTCCGAGGTCATCCATTTCATCCAAGAAAATTCGATGCACTTGGAAAGTAGACTACCAGTTGCTTTCACTTAAGGATTCACTCAACTTAAAATCGCATAGTAATCTTTTAGCTGTATTTGTAAG